ATGACAATTCTAGTAGGATTTCCATCCTACATCACCTTCAATGCCATTTTCGCCCTCGAGTTTCAATTTAACAAATTTCGACATGAAATTGAAATGAAAAAAAATACATAAGTTATATATTTTGTTTAGTGATCAATAAACAAACAAAACATTTTGTTTGCAGATTTTTTCATAATCACAGCTTACGTATTACTATAAACGAAAACCATAACAACAGCGACTTGGGCTGACAGCGATGATGGATGGGTGACCGGTGGCGATGGCGGTTGAAGTTGACGGCAACGGTGGATGGATGGGCGAGGTGTGTGGTCGCGGAAGGAGAGTGTTTGGTCGCCAGTTCAAGGTTTGGTTACCATAGGATTACTTATGTGCCCCAGTAAAATTTGGTTGCTAGAACTCTTTATAGTATTGAGATTTTATTTGGTTGCTAATCTTTTGGTCACTACGAACCCGAGCAGGTCTTTAAAAGGCTCTATCTCGGTTCTCGTTCGGATCTTGAAATCATCGGGATGTAAAACTTTCAGAGAGTATTTCCTCTTCCTAGAGAAGACAAAAACCAATTTGGTCGCTAATCTTTTGGTCACCAAGTAATGTAGCCAAAACCAAAGAAAGTACAACGAGGAAACCAAAGGGAAAAACCTAATAGAAAAGAGAGAAAAACTTCAATCAGCATTATCTCGAACGAACAAGAACGAACACTACACCGCCTCTCCAACAATTTCAAAGGGACTCATTCATTCCTTCTCTATGTTACATCCTCGCAAGATCAATCAAAATTCGAAGTTATGACCCCCCTCCCCCCAAAAAGAAATCGATTTCAGGGTGAAGTGGAGAGGACATAGATTTGTCCGAGCACTACTACCACCACCGCATTCGCAGCCGTCAACACCATCGACGAGTACCTGCAAATCTTCTCCGAGCCCAGCATCGTCTCCCAGTAGACCAACAAGACGGAAGCGATCGAGAGCGCGTAGGTGATTAATGTGGACAAGAGCAAGGCCTTGAAGGTCCACAGGAATGGCGACATGGCCTCCGCCCTAATCATGATCATTATGGTGAAGTTGATCACCCAGTTCAGCACATGAACGAACTTGGCGATGTTGCAGGCTTCAGGGAAGAGGACGTCAGCCGCGGAGACCGGGAGAACTCCCTTCCTACTCTTGAGGCCAGCCATCCGACCGCACCGAGCGAAAAACTACTACCGCGCTTGATAATTCTTCACTCTCGAAACAAAGTTGTCTGTCTTCTGCACCCACTTTGCTCCATGTTATTCAATTTATATGGAAAAGTAGCTTCTTCTTCTTGTTCTTCTTCTTTGTTCCCCTCATGACTTGTGTAATTTTCCTAGTCGGACTCGACTTCCCGATTCATAGATAGATCACCTCTCTGGAGTGATCGCATGGATCACATGCCTACCCACATTACTTATCAATATCCAATCAACCATTGCTTGTTTTCAAAATTCACACTCAAATCTTGCGTCCTCATCTCTCGGTTTCTTGAAATATAGACTTTATTTCGATATCGACTATGGTTCATTGTGAACTACGTGGTTGTTCGAACCTCTTAACTTTAACATGTATTGTTATAAATAGCAAAATATTAACGATTTTTATAATTTGGGATAAAGGGTAATATAATAATGATAAGGCATGAGTGAATATGCTTTTTTCAACTTCACCATTCCCTTACGGGGATAAAATTCAAGGTAAAGTAGTATGTCGAGCCTGCTAATTTGATGGATTTTTTTAGAGTAATGATTTCTTCATTCATGACGTGACTCGAACTTGTGATCCTTGGAAGACGGTATGACCCATTTACTATACTAGCCTGACATGCTCGGTAGCTTCTAATTTGATAGATCCAAGACAAATCGATAATCTAAATTCCTAAATACTATTTTCTTTTCACACATGAACTTTCACATGTCCAAAATTAAACTTTGGAGTGAGCAACTAATTATTCGTAATACGAAGTCACACTACCGTTAGGACTTAATACTCGTTAGCTTAAATATCATCCTAACGACACAGTTTGCCCTGGAATCAAGTCAATTCAAGATGACCCTGTTGCCCCCATAGCCTTGCTTCTAGTAGATATCTGCAATATACCACAATTCCTTTTGAAAATTATCTCCTTTGACAAATCTCATAAAAAAAAATCCGTCTCTTCTATTAGAAAATTGCTAAAACTTACCTTGATAAATGTCATTATAAGAAACTTGGTCGATAGCGGCTACTTGATAGATTGTTAAGGAATTGATGTTTAAATCCATAACCTAAATACCCAGTATGAATTTACCTTAGGAAACTAACTCGGCCAACTAGAGACTAGATTGAAGGGTAAGCCAGTAGCCAAAATATTTGTTTGTTGCTCAAAGCTCAAGCCTGAACAACTTGATCTTGATGTCTCTTCCTCTTCTGGACCAAAGATATTGAATAGGCTTGATATGTGTGAGCCCTAGCCCAGGCCTTTGATACGTTGGTGGAAATGTCGCCATTGTGATCGTGAAATTTAGCACACACTTTCTGACGTGTCTCAATATTTGTGTACTCCACGCATCAACTAGTGGCCTCTCCATTCGGCCTGTCTTAAAACACGGACCAAAGAGTCTGATATGCGTGCGAGTCCATTGGTGGCAACTCGTAAGGTGTGAGGAAGCCAATTGTTGAGACCTTTTTTGGGGGCATTTTCAACTGACCTTGATCTTTTGAGAAGAGTTTGAGTGAGAACCTGCCTGTTGGAACTCAAAAGATGGTAAACTATGCATTAGTGGGGCGAAGCTAGAGGAAACTCTAGTAGAGGCCTGTAGCGTTACTGATGTGCAAATTGTTTGTCTGACTTGTGTATAAGGGCGAAAGACTAATCAAACCGTCTAGTAGCTGGAACATCCATAACCAGAGGTCATGGACTCCTGATGAGACCACCGGAAGCGATCTAAAGATCCTATGGTGACCTCCTGATTTGAGCTCATAAATAGCTCATTTCACATGATGAGAACACAATTGCATAGTCAGAACTGAGATATAGAAATGAAGATCGCAATTATGCAGAAGAGGCTAAAGCTTTTTAAGACTGCACGATGACTTGCGTTACAATCTTCTGTAAACCTTAACAGCCCCTCTGATCCCAGCATAAGAGCAGGTTTTAATTTGTCCAAAGTTACAATTGCTCTGGTGACCCGATATTTCCTAGAATGGTTTGCACATCGACTAACTTGAATTTGGTACTTGCAGAAGCACAACTCGAACAGTGAAGACAAGGAAATGATGAAGGTTTTCACGTTGTATGACATTCCCAGTCATTCTTTCAATCTAAGTAACAACACCCTCAAACTCCTACAAGACCAAAATCCAACCAACAGAGACACAGTTCATGCAATTGAGTCATGGTTTCTTCGATAGTGATTCCAATCAACTTGAACGACCATTGAAAGAGCAAACATCAAGATTAAAATTGTTCCAAACTAAAATATATCTAAGAGATTGCCCATGCATGAGTAAGGCCAAAAAAAAAAAAAAAAGAACCTAGAAAAAGGTATTGAGCAAACAAGGCATGCAGCAAAAAGTCCACAGCAAGGCAATACACTTCCATCATTAACAGAATCCTTGCACATCAACAAATCTATAACGAAAGACAGCAAAAAGTCCACAGCAAGGCAATACACTTCCATCATTAACAGAATCCTTGCACATCAACAAATTTATAACGAAAGACAGCAAAAAGTCCACAGCAAGGCAATACACTTCCATCATTAACAGAATCCTTGCACATCAACAAATCTATAACGAAAGACGAGCTCTTACGTTATCTTTCACAGTCTAGAGTAAGGATGATTCATGAGTTATAGGACAAGGACCAGATCCTAGTTACCGAATTACAAACTTTCAGAAATTGTAAATGAAACTTAGAAAAATGAATCCAGCTCAACATACACAAACAATCAAAAAGAATATCACATTCTACTTGATTGAATCGACTAGTCACTGCACAGACGGTAAAGAAGAGTACAACCTCCTTGAAACCTAGACAGAAGTAATCGGTTTTGACTGGTCGATGACATATCAAGTCTACAAGGCGCAAGCATCAGGCTAGTGATTATTTCTTTCCTTTCTAATCATCAATTGTTCATACCCAAAAATGAGCATGAACAAATACCAAACATCATGATCGCATTTGGCCAAAAAATAAAAACAAACAGCAAGATCACTTGCAAAAGACGGCTTAATGCTGGCATAGTCATGATAAATATATAGCAAGATGTCTCTCTCCTAGCACGCTTTGGTGAATAACCTAGTAAGTACACTATCTTTTTGCTTTCTTTGGAACATTGCAGAGGTGTCACAAATCCTTGACAATCCCCTCATTGGATTCCTTAAAATTTTAGTCTTATAGCACCTGAATGATCCACTGCATAAGAATGTTCAACGCAACCGTTCAGAGGAAGAACAACCCTTAAAGGGCCCAATTACCCTGCCTTTGAATTCACAAGAAATCACCTCCAAAACTGAAATAATCAATTCACCACTTCACTAACCTAATTAAATAAGTGGAACCAATCCCTCACATGAGAAACACTAATACAGGCAAGACTAATGAATCGAAACAGCAGACAAAGGAAACAATGCAGGCTACAGAGCAATCAAAAGGCCATTGGGTATTGGATTAGCCGAAAATCAAAACTAGTTAAACCCAAACATACCATCATCAGTGATCACCCAATCGAACACTGCCGAGGATAAATTGAGGCTACTTATATTGGTCAAAACACAATGAGGCTACCAAAATAAAAAACCTAGAGGAACTATAAAAAGATAAAACTGTAGAGTCAGGATCCACAGCCGAGTTCCTAATTCATAGATTATACTCAACATTCGCAAAACCGAACTTTGAAGCAAGAAGCCGTTCAGACAAACCCCACATTGAACAATGACCAGTATACACAGCATCCACGAACAATGAGACAAACAGAACAAACTAAGCAACTAAGGCAAGAACCATGAAAATGCAACACCATAAATTAATTTAAATTACGTCCCGACATCTCTTATCACTACTGAAATACTGGACTTACATCATCACAACATAAGATCCGAAAATCAAGAATCTAATAATCTTCTTGGAACAAGACCCGAGCAAAACAACTGGTAAAATCCTCCAAAACCGAACTTAAACCAAAAAAGAAAAGATATTAAAACAAAAAAGGAGCGACCTATCTTTTCCCATCAATCCTGAGGAATCTCGACGTCCCCGTCCGATATCTCCTCCTGCAGATCCTTCGGGTCCTTCCCGTCGACCGTACACCCGACGGACACGCACGTCCCGAGTATCTCCTTCACCGTCCCGCTCAGCTCCTTGGCCATGGACCTCGGCCTCATCACCCTGGCGATCTCGATGACGTCGTCGAGCGAGATGTTGCCGCTGTGCTTGATGTTCTTGGTCTTCTTGCGGTCGCGCTCGGGCTCCTTGAGGGCCTTGATGACGAGGGCGGCCGCCGACGGGACCACCGAGACCTTGGCCTGCCGGTTCTGGACGGTGAGCTTGACGGTGACCCGGAGGCCCTTCCAGTCCTTGGCGGTCTCCTTGGCGATGTCCTCGCCGATCTTCTTGGGGGAGAGGCCGAGGGGGCCGATCTTGGGGGCGAGGGAGCTGGCGGCGCCGACCTCGCCGCCGGTCACGCGGACGTAGACGTCGACTACCTGCGTGGGGTCGAACTTCGGCGGCATGGCGGAGGCTCGCGAGGGGGCAAGAAGAGGGGCGAGGACGAGAGAGAGAGAGAGAGAGGGTGGTGAGCGGCGGCGAAGCGGTGGGAGCCGGAGGTGCGAGCTTTGTTTTGGTTTTTATATGAGTAGGGTTATTTGCGAGGTGCAGGAGGGAGGATCCCGTGAAATGACGGATCTGTCCTCGGCCTTGTTGGGTTTCTTCGGTTTGGGCAAGGGCTTTTACCTTTGGGCCAAACTACTCGGATCTGAGAAAATGCTGCGTGCAACTGTGACAAAATTCGAGTCCATTTATTGGGCGACCACGTGTCGTCCGAGCCCCACCGCGTCAGATCTCTCTCCTCTCTCCCCTGCTTCACGCCCCTTTTGTTTTCTCTCTCTTTCTGCAACTCTCTCTCGACCTCCATCTCCAACAACCTCCTGTGTTCAATTCCCACAACAGTGCTCCCAAGGACGGCGGCTGTGACGGCGACGACATCGTGGACTAGTTGTTTGTATACGTGTGTTTGTATGTGCAAAATAAAGTAAAGTTGTTCGACAAACCTGAAATAAGTGATCCGAATTTGACGATTGATCTGAGCCCAACGAATTGACGTTGTGTCCTTAAGATAATTTGTCCCTTCTACCGGTACCCAAAGGTTATTGAACAATTGCCTCCTAGGATAGAACGGATCGCATTTCCTATGAAGCGGTACTTCTTCAAAGGAAACCTTCGAGCGCAACTTTGCAGAATAATCGCACAAAAATGACAATGATGAAGAATGAGAGTGCAGTAATATGACTTTCGGAAAAACAGAGAATGACTCTCTCACGGATGTTATTTTTTTTAAAAAAATGAAGAGTCGGAATGAACAGTTGCTAATAACCGAAGAGTTTCGTTCGGTCATGTGCGAAAAATGAATAGTCACCAAGCGAACATTTCGGATATAGAAGGACGAAAATGAAGAGTCACCAAGCGAACAATTTCGTTCGGTTCGGTTATACTTGGTCACTCTCACTCTCAGACAGATGGTAGAACCCGAACCTACGAACAGACATATCTGTTCGAAACAAAAAGAATAAATTCGGGAAAAAAATAAAATCGACGGGAACCCGGCCCCGGCCCGATCCGAGACGGCCGGACGGACGGCGGCGGTGGCGCGTGCGGGGAACCGACCCAGCTTGGCGTAGGTCCTCTCTCTTCCATAAAAGTGGAGTACCCCTTGAGGCCCAAACCCATTTGAGAGGCTCCTTAAAATAAACCATCTCCCATCACCTCTTCTATCCTATGTGGGGCATTTTCATCCACACACTTCTCATTCAATTTTATGGGATTTGGATGCCAAAATCCCAACAATCCCCCACATGAATGAGAAGTTCTGATATCATGATTCTTCGTGTATGCATGAGATGCAAAGTGCGATTATTTCATGAGAGAACGTTGTATTGGGATAAGTAGTCTAAGACTTTGAACTTTCCCTAGTGAGACCTGTCGGACTTACTCGGTCAATCAGTAGACTTGATGTCTTTGAACCGTCGACCTTTAGTGTAAGTCCAGACAATAGGAATCACACAACTATCTCTCAAACAAAGTTGGTTCTCACTGTTATGTTCGTTTTGGCCATGAACACCGCCTGGTTTCATGAGTGCTTTTGAGAATTTGGCCTTTCAAATTCTTCATAAAAGCGGCCCTCACTTCACACTCACATAGGTGATTTCTGATTGTGTGGTATATCACATACCCGAATCAGAATCATTAAAAGCTTACACTTAACCTCCACATGTCAGTACTGTCTCCATACGGGAATGAGTAAGAGTTGACAGTACACTACTCCGCCTGCATAACTTGGTTGTCCCTTTGAACCTAGATCTTGGGGTTTCCAGTCAATTAGGTAGGATTTCCGCTATGATGACTTATTTTATAGGCCTTAAACCCATTCCCCTTGATGTTTTTACAACCATCTCTCTAGTTAGGCATTTTGTTAATGGATCTGCAGCATTATCTTTTGACTTCACATAGTCAATCGTGATAATTCCACTAGAGAGTAGTTGTCTTACAGTATCGTGTCTTCGACGTATATGTCGGGACTTTCCGTTATACATGACATTCCTTGCCCTACCTATTGCCACTTGACTATCACAATCAATACACACAGCTGGCATTGGTTTAGACCAATTAAGAATGTCTTCTAAGAAATTTCGAAGACACTCAGCTTCTTCATCGGCCTTATCTAAAGCAATAAATTTTGCTTCCATAGTAGACCTCGCAATACAAGTTTGTTTGGATGATTTCCAAGACACTGCTCCCCCACCAAGTATAAACACATACCCACTTGTGGATTTTGTGTCTCTTGTGCCGGTTATCCAATTTGAATCACAATATTCTTCAAGTACCGCTAGATACTTTGTGTAATGTAAAGCATAATTTTGAGTATGCTTCAAATAGCTTAATACACGTTTCATAGCTTTCCAATGATTTTCATTTGGACTAACTGTAAATCGACTTAGCTTGCTCACAGCACAAGCTATGTCCGGCCTAGTACAGTTCATGACATACATTAGACTGCCTAGTATACTAGCATACTCATTTTGAGCTTTACTTTCATCAGTATTCTTTGAAAGATGTAAATTAACATCTATCGGGGTCTTTATTGGTATAATGTCTATATTCTTGCACTTTCCAAGAATCGTCTCAATATAATGGGACTGTGATAGAGCTAATCCTCTAGATGTCTTATGGATTTTAACTCCTAAAATAACATCTGCAACCCCATATCTTTCATATTAAATTTACTTGTGAGCATGCGTTTGGTCGCCTTAACAACCTCACTATCGCTGCCCATTATAAGCATGCCGTCTACATATAAGCACAAGATGGGAAAACCATTATGAGTGTTCTTAACATATACATATTTATCACACTCATTAATCTTAAAACCATTCGACAACATGACTTGGTCGAATTTAGCATGCCATTGTTTTGGTGCTTGTTTCAATCCATAGAGTGACTTGATAAGCCAACATACTTTCTTCTCTTGTCCTGGAACAATGAACCCTTCGGGTTGTTCCAAATATATTTCTTCTTCCAAATCCCTGTTTAAGAAAGCCATTTTCATATCCATTTGATGGATTTCAAGCTTATACACCACTGCTATGGCAATTAGCATCCTTATAGATGTAATTCTAGTAACAGATGAATAAGTATCAAAATAATCAAGACCTTCTCGTTGCTTGTATCCTTTTACTACAAGCCTAGCTTTATATTTATCAATAGCACCATCCGCTTTCATTTTCCTCTTGAAAATCCACTCACATTGTAGTGGTTTATTACCAGGAGGAAGGTCAACCAATTTCCATGTATGGTTTGACAAGATGGATTCAACTTCACTATTGATAGCTTCTTTTCAGAACGGGGCTTCTGGGGATGTCACGGCCTTTTTAAAAGTCTGAGGCTCATTCTCTAATAAATATGTTAGAAAATCAAGTCCAAAAGACTTAGAATTTCTTTGTCTTTTACTACGTCTAGGTTCATCCTCCATAGGATCGCTTCTAGGTGTAGCGTCCCGAGGCCTCTTATCATTATTAATTGGCTCATATACTATGTTATACGGAAATATATTCTCAAAGAACGAAGCGTCCCTTGACTCAATGATCGTATTAACATGTATATCTGGTACCTCTGACTTATGAACAAGAAATCAATATGCATTACTATTAATAGCATATCCAATGAAGACACAATCAACGGTTTTCGGTCCTATTTTAACCTTTTTCGGTTTAGGAATCGCAACCTTAGCCAAACACCCCCACACTTTGAGATATTTCAAATTAGGCGTTCTGCCTTTCCACTTCTCATAGGGAGTTTGTTGTGTCTTTCTGTGGGGTACTCTATTTAAAATAAAATTCGCCATCAAAACAGTTTCCCCCCACAAATTCTGTGGTAAACCGGAACTATTCAACAATGCATTCATTGTTTCCTTTCCGCCACTCCATTAGATTGAGGCGTATAAGGAGGAGTAATTTGGTGAATAATACCAAACTCCGAACAAATTTCTTTAAAAGGAAATTCATATTTACCTCCTCTGTCACTCCTTATTATTTTAATTTTCTTATTCAACTGAGTTTCAACTTCGGACTTATAAGTTCTAAAAGCATTCACAGCCTCATCTTTGCTACTAAACAAATAAACATAACAATATCTCGAGCAGTCATCTATAAAAGTAATAAAATACTTCTTACCACCCCTTGACGGTATTGCTTTCAAATCACATAAGTCTGTGTGTATTAAATCTAAAGGTTCTGTGATTCTATTATCTATAGAATGAAATGGAGGCTTAGAAAATTTAGATTCAACACACATTTGGCATTTTTCACTTGACCAATCGAATTTTGGCAATAACCCCATGTTCATTAATTTCTTTATTGACTTATAATTAACGTGTCCTAATCTAGCATGCCATAAATTAGGAGACTCAAGCACATAAGCAGAAACAACTTTATTCATAACATCATTGGGTACAACAGTCATTACATTCAACTTGAAAAGACCATCACTAAGGTAACCCTTTCCTACATACATCTCATTCTTGGAGAGTACAAACTTATCAGACACAAATACCAACTTGAAACCATTCTTGCTAAGAAGATATCTGGACACTAAATTCTTGTGTATGTCTGGCATATGTAGCACATTGTTTAGTGTCACAACTTTCCCAGATGTCATCTTTAGAGCAACCTTTCCAACACCTTTAACCTTAGAGGTCGATGAATTACCCATGTAGAGTTTTTTATCACCTTCCATAGGCATGTAAGATGAGAACATTGATTTATTGGCGCAAATATGACGAGTTGCTCCAGTATCAATCCACCATTCTTTGGGATTTCCCACCATGTTGCACTCGGATATCATAGCAGTAAGATTGATATCATCAACACCATTGAAAATCTGTTCCACCACATTCGCCTGAGTCTTCTGTCTTTTCTTGGCTCGACAGTCTTTGGCACGATATCCAGGCTTTTCACAATTGTAGCATTTGCCAACAAATTTTTTTAGGCCTTGGGTGGATCTCTCTCCATAGTTTTTCCTCTTCTTGTTGGTTTTTGATCTTTCTTCAACAACGTTGGCCCTTGAGACCGCCAAATTGCTACCAACTTTC